GATCCTCAGCCTATACAACTATGAGATCCTAAGAACAAGATGATGCCTGGCTACCACTCTGAGGGAAATCTATGTAGGAGATCCTGGATAGAGTGAGAGAACAATGTGAAACAAAACTCAAAATCATTTAAAAAAAAAAAAAAGTGACAAAGTTTGCTGGTCTGTCAGAGCCTGATGGAACCACTGAGACTACAGCCCCTAGCTGCCCTTCAGGTCTGGAACTGAACCCACACCTGTCGCTTCCTGCCAAACAAAAGACAGGCTGAACATTTATATTAGGTAGATACACTTCTTGGAGAGAACAATTATGGAAGAATAGAAAGGCTGTGTATGCATAGGGAGACAGCTCAGGGGGCAGGAGTACATGGAGGGATGGACACAGGGAAGAGGTAACTATGGGGAAGAAGTGGGAGGGGAGCTGTTCCATTCTGGTAAATTGTAGTCAATGCCATGAGACAAAGTGTATGTGAGCTGTTGTGTGGAAAGTGCATTTGCTCTGTAAACTTTCACCCAAATCACAATAAAGAAAGAAAGAAAAGGCCAGGCCTTTGTCTTAAAATAAGTAAAAGTGAATTGTTTGTCCAGTGTGTATGTAGTCAAGACAGGGAGAAGCCCTTTCAAGGGAACATGAAGCAGAGGTAAGTTTTTCTTGAGCTGTAATTTATCAGAAACAAAGGATTTACTAGAAAGTAGACAGACATCAGTGTCTGGCTTCTATTGGAACATTCCCATTCACAATGGGGTTTGATCCAGAGATGTCAATCCTTCTGCTAAAACAAAAGGAATCAAAGCCACTAAGTTATTTAAATAAAACCACAGGGGAAGTAAACATTGATAGCTTTTCCATAGCCCTCAATTCTGCCACATTGCAGGGAAGAAACCTAAGTCAAGGGGTAAAAGCAAAACAGGTTCAAATATTAGCAACAAATGGCTTTGTTTGGCAAAGCCTCACCAATCTTAAAGGATTACAAAAATTCCATATTTAATATACAATTACAGAGTGTGGTGGTGGTGGGGAAAAACTTCGCAAATTAGTTTTCAAATCCATCCAAATTTTGATACTTGCCCCATTCCTGTTAGCTTTAATCAGCTGGTTCCATGCTGCCTGCCAAATGTCAGCAGTCACATACCTCATACACACATACATACACACGCATATAACACACATTCCCCACATGGCCTGGGCATGGTGCGCATGGCCCCTGCGTGGCAGGCTCTTCCCATCTCCCTCTTCCATGAGGTTGTTTAGGTGCTCTCCAAGCCCCAGCTCCGGCCCCAGGCCAAGACTCTTCTCCCTTCAGCATTGTTGCTCACAACAGGGGGAAAAGTGGGAGGTGGCATCAAGGCAACACAGAATATGTCAACCCCAAAGCTACTTTTCAACCATATTTATTGAGATAGGGAAGGGAAGGGGTGAACATCCAGAGCTAGGCCTCAGGGTTTCCAGACCTTGTAGGTGGGCAGCATCTTGCCCACGGGCAGGGCCACTCCAGCCTTGGATTATCCAAAAAATGTCAGGGCTTCCTGGAAAGGAGAAGCCAAGCTTAAGTGTGGTTCCAACACTGCCATTGAGAGAACTTGGGTGGCACTGGGGAGGGTTACTGCACAGATGCTTTCTCAGTGCAGAGATTGGAGTGGACACTGGCACAAACAAGGTGTTGGAGGCCCAGCATGAACACATGGCCTATGGATAGCCTCCTCATGAGTGATGCATTCCTTACTTTATTAACTTGTCCTTCACAGCCACTATGCAGTTCAGATATATGATCAGCCCCAACTATACCCAAGGCAGGGCTTGGAGAAGCTGGATGGGGAACAAGATCCCCCTGACTTGGGGCTTGGACAACTCTTGTATGGTTTCAAGTGTTTGAGCACACTCACTCTGCTAGAGGATGGTAGAGATGGGGCACCCACATAGGGAGAGGGGTCCAGGGAGCCCTTGTTACCAGCAAAGCCTTTATGGCACCCATAGCCTTGGGGCCTAGCTCAGCCAAACACTTCTTGGACCCTTCTATGAGGTGCTCCACAGGGACTCCCAGGCTGGCCAGCATGAACTTTAGTGGGTTGAAGTGGCTGAGAAGGGCTTTGGCCATGGCCCCAGGCATAGCCCCAGAAGCAGGGGTAAGGGCAACTGCAGGTTGGGCCACAGACTTGACCACTGAGTCCACAGCAGCTGCAAAACACAAGTAAGGAAGAATCACCTACCTGTCGCCAGGTGGTCTCCAGGATATCTGCTGAGCACCTAGCTCCTCCAGGACATACCCGAGGGAACCTTTATAACTTGTCCAGCATTTCTGACTATCCTCTCACTTGCTCACTGATGGCTGTCTGTACTGGGTGCTGAGGAAACGGAGATGGCTCTGACCCAGCCCTGGCTTTGGAGTGAGGGCTCCCAGCCTGCTGGGAGGGACAGCCATGGGTCAGAAGGCCAGGGCCTAGCAAGAAGGTCACTGGAAAAAAGGACAGAGAAAGTGACCTGGAAGACAGAATAAGAAGACACTGACTCTGTCTGAGGCCCAGGGCAGGTTTCCCAGAGGAGGGAACACCTGAACTATGCCTCCAAGGACAAGGAGGTGATGACCAGGCAGAAAGCAGAAGGATGTTCCCAGCCCTGGATGCTATGGGAGCAATAGCCTGAGGCTGGGGAGAGACCAGAGTTGATGGGCAAAGAAGAGAAACAGGCTGGGCAGGGCTTTGGATGAGAAGATGGTGTAGGGCTCATGTGACCAACTCCAGAGGGCCTTGAAAGCTACAGGAAGGGAGGACTGACCCCACCCCCAAAAAGGATGGGAAGTAATTAGCAGGGAGGTGGCCAAGTCCCCCAGGCACTTAGGGGTGAGGTGGGGGGGCAGCACTGTGAGGAGGCTGAAGCCAGGAGTGCTGGGGGAGAGTGGATGCCCATGCCCCAGTCTTGAAAATAAAGGGCCCAGGGCACTCACCAGAGTCACAAAACAGGACCATGCATAGCCCAAGAAAGGCAACAGCAAGCTTCATGGTGCAGTGGGGCTCTATGGATGCTGTGGGGCTGCAAGACAAGCTTCTGAGAGTCTGGCCTGAAGGCTTCATATACCCTGTGCTTGCCTTCTCCAGGGGCTGGGGCCTCAATCCCTCTTCCTGAGAAATGTACTGTTTGTTCACCCTGGGCCAACTTCCTGCTCTGGCTGGTGGGCCCTGGGATGCTTGTTCCCCCTACCCACCTGGTCTTAGGGGACTTCCTCTTGGCAGGGCCTCTGGGCTAAAAGGCCAGGCCCTTCTCCTGAGAGGAGGGGCCAAGACTGTGGTTTGTTTCCACAAGCCCCCCAACCCACTAAGCCTTCACAGTTAGAGTGCTTTCTTGTCTGGCCACAGCCTGGTCAGCAAGCTCAGGTGTCAGCCCAGGTGGAGAAGAAGCACCCACCCAGGCAGGGAGGGGCTGGGCGATGTGTGTAGGTCCCAGGGTTGGGAGGTTGCAGAATCCCCTGTGAATCTGCAGGTCTGTGACCCACTAGTTCTTTCCTTAACTGAGGGGAGGGGATCCCAATTCCAGACCATAGAGATGTCTTGTAATGGGAGACCTCATGGCTTCTTCCAATCTTCGGGTAGTTGAAGTACCAGAGAGAAAACTCTGTCTAGTCCCTTAGTGGTCATGCCTTACTTCTGACCACTCTCCCTTAGCTCACCAGAAACCAAACTCTGCCATAGAGTCAATTCCCACTCATAGCAACCCTATAGGACAAAGTAGAACTGCCCCAATAAGGTTGTAAATCTTTACAGAAGCAGACTGCCTCATCTTTCCCCTGCAGAATGGTTGGTGAGTTTGAACCACTAATCTTTTGGTTAGCAGCTGAATGCTTTAATCACTGCACCACCAGAACTCTTCTCCCTTAGCTACCAGACATCTTTCCATCTTTGAAGTCAATCTTGATGCCACTGGATGGGCCCAGGTATATTCCAGAGTGTTCTGGTTACCTAGTGCCATTCTGACAAGAATATACCATAAATGGGATGGCCTTAACAAACAGGAGTTTATTTTTACAATTTGGAGGCTTTAAGTCCAAGTTCAAAGTGCTAGGTTCTAGGGGCTGGGTGAAAGCCCCTCAACCTTGGGGTCCAGCTCTACCTCCTGCTCCCAGCCCACTGAAGCTGGAGGCTTTTCTTCACTCAGGCAGCTACTGACTGCTGAGGCTAACAAGCCCAAGGTTGACAAATAAAAAGACACAGTCCCAATGTTACCAACCCACACAGGAGGCCATTACTTCAAGTCCATTGTAAGTCCCAAGGTTGGCATAGCACTGCAGGCTGCTGAACAATGACATGGCTACATGATGGGTCCAAGCATGCCATAGGCTAGAGACCATTCCCCAAGGCTTCTCCTTATATATAGGAAGAAGACCACATCCCTAAGGCAGCTACTCAGCTGCTCCCAGTAGATTACACCATGGAGCTGGTTACCAGTCTCATCACAGGGAATACTACATCCAGCTGCCCAGCCACTCAACCAGGCCCAGCCAAGTTGACACACAAACTGAACTATCACACAGAGTTTCTTTGAAAATCCTCAAGCACCTGTCATCTACAGAAATCTGATAGATGGGGAACAAAATAGAAGTATGCCCATGAAGCCAGCTCCATTGGCTGGGAAGATGTGACTTTTCGAGGAGTGTTCTGGATTCCTGTATCCTAGTTTACAGGCTACCCTTGACCTTTGCAGCGGGGTTTGGATCTCTGGCTGACTTGCGTTGCTGGAGCCATACATAGCTCAAGACCCCTACCACAGCCATCTCTGCATGTCTGTGGCTGTTTTGTTTCTCTTGTCTGCATTCAGCCGTTGCTTGTTAGTAGTAGTTTTGTCATTTGCATATTCACATTAGTATTATTAATTTCTTATATGTTTTCTTTACTGTTTTGTTTTGGGGGTGTTTTAGTTACCTAGAACTGCTGTAATAGAAATACCACAAGTGGGGAGCTTTAAAGATCAAAAATTTATTTCTCACAATTCTGGAGGCAAAAGGTTTAAATTAGGGTCTTAGCCATGTTGATTCCCTTCTCATTGGTAGCCCTGGGCATTCCTTGGTTCCTTGGCGGTCCTCACGTGGTATTTGCCTTCCCCTGTGTATGTTCATTTGACTGCTAACCAGAAGGCTAGTGGTTCAAACCCACCAGCCACTCCACAAAAAGAAGATTGGGCAATATCTCTTTCATAGAGATACCGCCTTGGAAACCCAAGGAGGGATCTCTATGAGTCAGATCCAACTCGACAGCAGTGCGTTTGGTTTGTGTGATAGTTGAAGATGTGTCAACTTGGCTGGACTCCAGTTGTGAGTGGTGGTTCCCATGATGGATCACATGACTGAGTTCTAAGCGGCCGGTCTGCCCAAGGGGAGTTTCCCCAGGGTGTGGCCTACCTGCAATGCTA